CTTCTTTTCTGATGAAAGAGTCATAAGCTCAGGAGACTAGATATCAAAATAGCTGAGGAGGGTACTATAGGATGCAATTAAAAAGAAATAGTATAAAAATAAAATAAAAAAAGAAACAGTATAATAAAGAATTTTCATTATGGTATTAAAACATGGTGTTTCTATAATTAGATTTAAATATTTTTAAATTTATATTTCACATTTCCCCCCTAAAATAGATATCAGAGCCATTAAAGAAATATATATACCTTTTCATCAATTAAATGAAAGGATAACTAGGACTTCAGATAAACTTTGGCTCTTAACTTGCTGGCAGTGAGGCACACAAGTGAACATATTTAGTTGCATGGTCCTAGGCAAGAGAAAATAAAAAGCATTCTATCTACATAGGAGAGGCACTTTTTTTTTCTTGTATTACATTTTGAAGGAAGTTTCTGAAATAAGGTAATTTATGGACATTTTAGTAGCCTAGTGGAAAAAACACTTAGTAAAATACTACGAGTATGTCATAGACCTATTTCTCCAAACATAGTGAATCACATGATATTTTAAAAATAAGTAAATAGGTAAGTTTTCAAGATGCTGAATTTATTGAACTCAAATATCTAGGGTATCTAATCTATCTTAGTATAGTGGCACAATTTGAGATACAGTAGGAATGATAGACCACAAGTGTCTTACAATAGCTCCCCTAAATATCCTTTCAGTTTTATAAAAAATACATGTAAACATATGCAGCATGGTGAATCAGTCTCTAACAATATACGCTCAAACACAAAAAGAGAAAACATCGTTATAACACAGACTACTCAGGTATGGGCCAATCCCATCTTGTTCATAAAGTTTGGCTTTTATGATCTTATCTGTTATACCTGCTCTTGAATTTAAGATCAGGGCATCTTGGACAAACATTTTTATTCTAAAATAATCAACAGATATTCTTCAGAAAACTAAAGTAATTTGAGAGTCAAAAGTGCACAACTGAATCAGTAGCAATTGGATATGTTTGTTAAAGGATTAATTTAATGGCTGTTTAGCCCATTCACTGGGTTCTAAAAATCTAATGAAAACTAAAACAGTACTCTGGATCAAACTTATGAGATTTATTTTTCATAAAAGGTGCCCTTTGATATTCAACACTGAGGATTTTATGATTTGAAAGGATTGGTAACAGTGACTTGGTGAAAAGGTGTAGAAAAGAATCATAATATAAAGTAATATAGTGATAGTTACATAATGATAGTAATATAGTTATTGTACTTCATCCTTTACAAAAACCATTCACAGTGATGGCATGAAATTTTGGCTGCTTAAGCACTCAACATCTGTGGGGTCTTGTTAATTCTAGTGAAAAAAAAATGTAAAAATGTATAAATACCTACTCTAATATTTATGTGAATTCAGTGAAGTCAGTTAAAAGTATTTATGTTGGCATGTAAATTCTTAAGAGATAATTATTATTAACCATGAATATATTTTGTATTAATGACAGTGGGAAATTAACAAAAATGAATGCCAACATTCTTAACTAATATATCTTGTGATAAACCACTTCTATGGGATTATCTCTGAATTTCTCAAAGTCAACACAAAACATATAATTCAATATTTTGTGTTTTACTCTACTAAAGGAGTCTTCTGGCTTAGAAAGCCCAAATGACTGGAAGAGATAAGCTTGTTGAATGCCACTTTCATTTTATAAGATGGAATATCCTACCAAACAATCCTACACTTAACAATTTCATTTTACAATTATATTTTTAAAAATTCTTATGTTGTCTTGTTGACCTGTGAAGTCTTACAGAATAATTTGTATGTAAAAACCCACTGAAAATAAGACTTTTTTTTTCATGTCTACCTACATAAAACACAACAGAAAACAAGATTTTATATTTAATGCTGTTCCGATTTTTAAAAAAATGGATATTATTTTATATCAAATTTAAAAAGTGAGGGCAAAAATATTCACATACTATATTTAGTTGTAATTACTACTGCCCTAGTCATACATTTTTCCTATCTCTTCTAGATAAGTATGCAAAATGGCACCTAATCCTTCCCCATGTCCCGTAACAATGAAGTAATATATTAAAAAAAGAGAAAAGATTCTAAGGGTCAGCTGGATGGTAGATTTGCTATTTCCAGTAGTACATTACTGAATAAATATATATAAAAAAACTAACCTGCAATATAAATTTTCATTCATGTTGCTCATTTAACATTTAATTATATTTGGCCTTGTATTTTTACTTAAGTACTTACTTTACTTCCCACAACTTGTCACCTCAATGAATCATAATGATCAGGGAACATGTTAATTTTTCCTAATTAACTGGTCAGAAATCTCTAATATTTCTGCTTATAACTTTATATAATGTATGTACATTATTGAATAAATTAATGAATAAAAATAAAATAGCATTTATTTATAGTATATTTCTTTAAGATTAGTTTGCAAAACTACATGACTTTGAATCTCAACTTTTGTCCTTCTCTATGCATAGCATAGGGTTTACAACAAATAGATGTCCATTTTGAAGTAAATAAATGCAATCAACAGGAAAGCCTGTGAGTCTCAAATATGCCTTTAAAGGAATTAGGAATCTTACAAGACAATGGTTTTTTTTCTCATAAAAAATAATTAATGGAAAATAAGATAAATTTTACCAAAGAATCTCTAAATAATATTACAAGATTAGGAAAAGAAATAGTAAGCCAGATGCTGGTAATAAAAACCTTGATAGATGATATCATCTTTATTGTTACTGAAAAAGGAAAGTATATGTTGTACATTCTATTCTGAATGAGACATATTTAGGTTCAATTGCAATTTTATATCAGCTGCTAAATGGTTCTGAACTAAAAGTCAATGCCAGGACTCTAGACTTTTACACCTATTTAGCTACGCTGCCTGCCATCTTTTTCCTATTGAGTAGGCAATAATAATTTTTCAATAACTGAGTAATGGGATAAATAGCTTTAATTTCCTCAAACTCTCCTTCTCTTTTATTCTGTGCCACCTCTCCTGCCATAATTCAGTTTGATCAGGCATAGCAATGCCATTTTTATTTTAAAATGACTTATGCACTACAAACTCTGGCTTCAATATAGTTATTCTGAGAAGTAAACAAATACTTAAATGGAGTATTCTGTGATTGTTTAATATAAACGGTTTGGGAAGCTTTCATCAGATGATAGATTAAATAATATTTAAAATATTTTCAGATTTAAGATTTATTGAGTGACTACCATGTGTCAGAAATGGCTTGCAGAACTTTACAAGTGACAACTTATATAATACTCATAACTTTATAAATTAGGAGTTACCACCTCTACTAGAGGCATCTGAGTGTAGGTAGCTGAAGCAATGTGCCAGTCACACAGCTCCAGGGTGGTAGATCGAGAACTCCAAACCAGGCTCTCTGAGGACTGAACATTGAGCTTGGTCCCAACTAGGCAGATTGCCTCTCTTAAAGTCAGAGAGTCTATAAAGATTCTGTTTTATAGGATATACAAGGAGGGCACCTGGGTGGCTCCATCAGTTAAGCATTAGATTCTTGATTTCAAGTCAGGTCATGATCTCAGGGTCATAAGGTTGAGCCCTGTGTCAGGCTCCATGCTGGGTGTGAAGCCTGCTTAAGATTTTCTCTCTCGGGCACCTGGGTGGCTCAGTGGTTGAGCATCTGCCTTTGGCCCAGGGCATGATCCTGGAGTCCCGGGATCGAGTCCCACATCAGGCTCCCTGCATGGAGCCTGCTTCTCCCTCTGCCTGTGCCTCTGCCTCTCTGTCCGTGTCTCTCATGAATAAATAAAATCTTAAAAAAAAAAAAAAAGATTCTCTCTCTCCCTCCCTCTCCGTCCATTCCCCTACCCCTGTCAATTATCTAAATAAATAAATAAATAAATAAATAAATAAATAAATAAATAAATACTGAAGGTATTTTTACAAGCCAGTGGGGAAGGACTGATATATTATATATTATATTATATATATTATATATTATATATATATTATTTATATATAATATATTGATAGTGGATTTACTGCTTTTGTCATTGCATTTGGATCTAAAAAACTATTTCTCCAAATGACATCTATGAAACCTCTCCTAGCTTCACCAGCACCACCCCTTCACAACTAACACATTACAGACACTGATCACAAACACTAACAGTTCTTAGCTTTGATGGAGCCAAGAAAAGGGGGGAAATGGCTTCAGAAAATTTCTAATACATTGCTGCTCACATGCATTAAAAAACAAAAATTTAAAAAGCACATTGTAAATGTATACACTATTCCTTGGAATAACAATTAGAGCCAGCTGAAATAGAACAAAGTTCAGAAACCATTGATAACTGATTTCTATCTGCAAACAATCTGATGTCAACAAAATCTCATCCATCTGTAAAGCCCAGATGAATATGAAAGCTCATGTTACCATCCACAAGCACACAAATACACCATGTACAACAAAACCTTATTTTTCACATGAGGATTTTCATTTCCCTAATCTTTACTTTCAAGGCATGCTACCTGTTAACCACTGGTATGAAAACAGTATTACTTAGGTGGATTCATCCATTTTCTTTGGTTCCAGAGAAAGCCATTCTCATGGGCCATCTAAAGCAACGACTTGTGCTTCAGTTGGAGACTTGGTTAACTTTAATCTGCTTTAGCAGTGACAGAAGACAAACAAAAATGAGATGCTGGTTCTCATTGGTTTTTACTCATATCACCGTCATTTTCCATGACATGGTACCACGTGTGCCTGTGAGCACTGGTCTCACCAGGTATTCCTTATTGAGTGACAAAGGGGGTAAATACTTCAGGAAGATGAAAAGGAGAAGGGGGGAAAAACAAACAGGCAAACAAAAACCCCTTGGACCTGACATTATGGAAAAAATAAAAAAAAGACACTAAGATGAAAAAAAAAATAGTGTCATGGTTTACATGTGGGATTTTGATGGAATCTAGGGCTGTGTTTTAATTCAAAACTCACCATCTCAAAACCACTTCTTTTCATCCGCCTGCAGGACTTGAGGTAAGTACGTATACGTTTTCTGGCACGCTCTTGATACTCAGGGAATTGTCGCCTGCATGAGTCAATGATAGCCTGGATCTTTTCTTTGGGCTGCTTAGAGATTGGGACCATTCGGTCCAAGTTTTCATCTACAAACAGCCTGACAAACATCTGTTGGCAAGAGGGAGACAGAGGAGAAGGGTTTGGAGGACTGCTCTCTGCTGTTCCTAGCTTCCTGTCTTGATTACCGATAGGAAAATACTCTTTTCTGCTTTATGCACTGGAGAACTTTGCCATGGAAAGCCAGAGATTTTACGCAAACACCCTTTTAACGGCTTTCGAATTGGTTGGATTAAAAAAAAATAGAGAGAAAAAAGAGAGAGAGGCAGACAGAAAGACACACAGACAGAAAAGTATAGACTATTGTGTAGGGAAAAAAAATCAGGAAATAACAGTACACTGTGACAATTAAGCACCCCATAAAATTCTCCATTAAGGATAAATGCGACTGCTCCACTGTGACACTGCACAGTGCAATCATCTCTGAAAACAATGGACTCTCTTGTCATGCATAATTAGATAAGCCGGGAAGGCGGGAGAAATAACTGGTGACAGGCATACTCTTCCGAGGAAGAAGCCGAGGCCCCTCATCCACTAGGTAAACATGCATACTCACACAACACAAATCCAGTTTTCAGCTCACATTTGGCTTTAAAATTCTAAACAAAACACAGCAATTCTGGTGTCTGGTTGGCAAAGAGTGTTTCATGTACTTTTTAAATCCTTCTGTAAATTAAACAGACATGTCTCTAGAATAGCCACATTTACCAACAAGCAACAACACGAAAGTGAAGCGGTAAAGGAAGCCACGCGGGGAGGGTGGCCGGACTCACATTAAAGGCCTTCAGCCGCTCGGCCTCCACGCCATCGGTCTCGTTCACTTTCTCCGAGTCGTCGTGCTCGTCGTGCTCATCTTCGTCCTCATCTCCCCTGTTCAGGGACAGGTCCTCGGCACCTCGGTCTACGCTCTCATTTTTGCCAGACTCGTAGCTTGAGTAGCTATGTGCCGGAGACTGGAAAGAGAGGGGCAGATTGCTGCTTTTAAATCCATCGCACAGCATACAAATGCAGCTTTTAATTTCATCGGTTTCTCAAAAATCTTGCTGAAAGAAGTGAATCCCAGAGTTGTAGCTGTTTTCATTTGAATCAGAATGAAGGGAGATGAGAAGAAAAATCTATCTCCCCAGTCATGCTGGTCGCATTACCAGTATTCCATAGCTGCGGGAACATTTCTAACACTACAGAAAGTTCTATCGAATTTAGCTTTTCGAGAGAGAGCAAAGATAGTTCCCACTCAATATACTCGAAGGAAGGAAGGAAGGAAGGAAGGAAGGAAGGAAGGAAGGAAGGAAGGAAGGAAGGAAGGAAGGAAGGAAGGAAGGAAGGAGAGGGAGGAAGGAGAGGGAGGGAAGGAGGGAAGACAGATTAACCTTTAATCACCTTTGCAAAAGAATCATTGAATCACACATATCCTTAGAAATGACCTCAGGGCTTAGTCAGTCTAACCATATTAGTAATGTTTTCAACAGATAAGGAACCTAAGGGGTGGATATATTTAATAGATGTGCCCAACAAGGACTACACAAAATATTGATACTAAGGGGTGCTAATTATAAGACAACGTCTTGAAAATCAGTTTTTAAATTGTGAGTCTTATGATGGCCCTGAATTTTGGCAGAAAAAAAGAACTAGGTTTCCTCAGAATCACGTTAAGCTTAATGCTTCCTAAAGCTTAACGGAAGATAAATGCCGATCAGTGCAGTTCTCACAAACTTCAACAATAGGGTTCAAGACCAACCATGGGTCCTGCTGTGGTATCTCCTACTTTTTTGTCCATGTGGCATCTTTTCCTTTCAGGAACAGCTTCTGTTCCACCAGGTGAGAGTGCCAATCCCAGGGCAGCAACCTTCTCTAACCCAGCTGTGCCCCAACTTTACCTCTGGGTAACTGAAATTAAGTTGAATACAGCAAGGCTAAGCAGAATAGAGTGCTAATAATGTCATCTGAGATTCTAGATTCAACTGTGCCTGAAATTAACCCATCAGCTGTGTGATACTGTACCCCTCCCACACCCCTCCCCCCCTTAGTCTTTCTTTGCTTAAATCTGAGTTTTAGTCCTTTGCAGTTGAGTCTAGAGTGGCACAGAAATTAATCATGATTAAGGCCAGAGTAACAACCCAAATTTCACCTATGAGAACTTAAGATACATAGGTGGCCTCAAGAAATGAGATTAAGATCTCTGTAAACAGCGTTAGCATTCTCAAATCAACAAAGTGAAATGCTTTTGAAAGAACCTCACAATGGAAAATTTTAAATCGGCAGTGTTCGAAATGCCTGGGAGCAATGATAACATACGTGTAGCATGTTGTGAGGATTATGCTAATATATTATTACTACATAATCGGAGGAAGAATAATAAAAGTAGAATAGATCACAGACATAAAAATAAAGTTAAAAGTTTAAAAACAATATATTTTATATTTGGAAGACAGTATGGGTTTTTCTTACAAATTAGATATAAACATGTCTAATATTATAATATTTCAAATTATCGACACGGTAGATCTACCTAATAAAGGGAAATATTCCATAGTTTTGAAAAATATACTGTATATATTTTTTAATGCCAATGTGCAACATTTAAAAAATGTTACAATACACTCATCTGAATGCAAATATGCTGGGCTAATATATTCTTTCAACATTTCATGTGAAACTGCACTGTCCAGCTGTCTACTATCAACACAGTCATTTGGAATGAAGTCAGATTTGTACCTCTAGTTCCTCCAGGTAAAGAAGACTCAGTCTTATCTGAGGATATTCATAACTAAATCTAAAGCATAATCAATTTTTCCCCCTATAATATAAACTGAAACTGTATAACTCTGAATCTAGTTTCTCAGCTGGAATGTGATTTCCTGTCTCTCTCACTGTTGAAGATACAACTAGCTTTCAAGGCCAATCCAAGTAAATTTAATTTTCATGAAGATTCCCTCTTCTACCTCAGTCTACTTCAATGTTTCTCTAAACTGTGAACTCTTAAAATATATGGCATTTGACATGGAATTAAACACTATAATTGCTCTCTACTTCTCATGTTAATTTGCATTTTCTTTCAAGTTAGGCTGAGATAGGTATCAACATATGACCTCTACTTCTCCTCTCACAGCAACAAAGAAATGTTCTCTATAGAAATAGCATTTAAGACTGTTAGCAGTGTCCCATTTTCTACAAAACGGTCTGGCCTTTAAAAATGGGGGAATGAAGCCAATCCATAGATTGGGAGAAAATATTTACAGAAGGCAAATCTGATAAAGGATTTTTAGCCAAAATACACAACGAACACTAAAAACTAAATGATAAGAAAGCAAACAACCTGATTAAAATATGGGCCCCAAACCTTAAGAGAAACCTCACCAAAGGAGAAAGATAGATGGCAAGTAAACATATAAAAAGAAGCTCCACATCATATGTCATCAGGGAAATGCAAATTAAAACAACAGTGAGATACCATATACCTATTAGAATAGCCAAAATCTAAATCTGGAACCTCAATATTAACATCAAATGCTGGTGAAGATGTGGAGCAACAGGAAATGATTCACTGCTGATGGGAATGCAAAATGGTACAACCATTTTGGAAGACAGTTTAGCTTTTTCTTACAAATTAAACATCCTCTTATCATATGAACCAACAGTCATGCTCCTTGGTATTTAACCAAAGAGTTAAAAACCTATGTCTAAAAAAACTGTCCAGGGATGTTTATAGCAGCTTTATTCAGAATTGCTAAAACAAAAATAATTAAGATGTGCTTTGGTAGGTGAAGGGATGCATAAACTGTGGTACAACCAGATAATGGAATATGATTCAATACTAAAAAGATATGAGCTAATTGAGACATGAAAGAACACCAAATACCTGTTACTAAGTGAAAGAAGCCAATCTGAAAAGGTTACATATTGTATGATTTGAGCTATAAGACATAATGGAAAAAGCAGAACTATGAACAGTTGAAAGATCATTGGTTGCCAGGGGTTTGGGGAGTGGGGTGGGGATGAAATGGCAAAGCACAGAGGTTTTCTAGGGCCCTGGGAATATTCTATATGATACTATAATGGTGGATACATGTCACTATATATTTCTATGAACCCATAGAACAGACAATACCACGACTCCTAATATAAACCATGGACTTTGGGTATTTATAATTTATTAATGTAAGTTCATCAATTATAACAAAAGTACCACTCTGCTAAGTGGACATTGATAATGGGGGAGGTTATACATGCATACGGGCAGGAGGTATGTGGAAATCTCTGCATCTTCCTCTCAATCTTGCTGTGACCTTAAAACTACTTTAAAAAATAAAGTCCTTTTTTTAAAAAAATGGGGAATATGAGTATTGGGATGATAAAACAGAAACAAGCCATAAAAATTACTATAGCCTTTTAGTGACCCACATAAAATATGGTAGTCTTTACACCATAACCCTACCTTATTTTATTAAGAACTTTGGATGACCATACCCTAAGAAGTCTTTATTTCAGGAGCAATCATTTTCATATTCCAAGTGTAATTTTAAAAATTCCAAATCAGGGACACCTGGGTGGCTCAATGGTTGAGCATCTGCCTGCAGCTCAGGGTGTGATACCAGAATCAAGTCCTGCATCGGGCTCCCAGTGGGGAGCCTGCTTCTCCCTCTGCCTATGTCTCTGTGTCTCTCAAAATAAATAAATAAATCTTTTTAAAAATTCCAAATCAAATCTTTTTTTTTTTAAAGATTTTATTTATTTGACAGAAAGTGAGAACACAAGTAGAGGGAACATCAGAGGGAGAGGGAGAAGCAGGCTCCCCACCAAACAGGAAGCCCAATGTGGGGATCTATCCCAGGACCCCAAGATCATGACTTGAGCCAAAGGCAGACACTTAACCAACTGAGCCACCCAGGTGCGCCCAAATCAAATCACAAAATAAAAGAAACAAAAATGTAAGGAATCACCACTTAGGCCTTATAGATGAAACCTTGCTTATCCTCATAACACAGGTGTTCACAGGACCAATGGTATATTTTTGCCTAAATTATGTATTTCATTTTTCCATAACCTGTAGTTCTCCTTAGCAAAGACCTCTTGAAAAATACAATTACACTTTGATTTTCTCACATTTTTACCACCCTTATAGAACTGGTAGCTCTGGACCTAGAAAGCCACCCCACTGCTGCCTGCTCCTAGAAAAAGGAGGCTCAATCTGTTTGCTTATTCTGTGGTCAGAGCATAGAATGGCTCGGACAGCAACACCACCATGCTTGATAGAAGAGCTGAGGCCAGAGGGGCCATTTGTGATTCACGCAGCCAAGGGAAATAAAGACAAACCTTTTATTTCTTTATCATGCCCTAAATAAGGGAAGAATCTCATGAATTTAGTGGAAGACATGCATGTTTTCATATTAGTTTGAACACAGCTCTGTCACAGCACTGATCATGAAGTATTATACAAGTTAGCTTATATGTCCATCTTCCACACAGCCTAAGAGTTACTTGAGGTTGGGGTCACTCAGGGACCATGCCTTTTCCATCCTTATAACTTTGCACAATGTCAGGCACATAGTGGGAATAAGATAAGAAATGTTTCTGAAAAAGTGAACAATTAGAGCTGTACAGAATTCAAATTAACTTTTAAACTGCTAGGGGCAGCCCGGGTGGCTCAGCAGTTTAGTGCCACCTTCAGCCCAGTGCCTGATCCTGGAGACCCGGGATCATGTCCCACATCAGGCTCCCTGCATGGAGCCTGCTTCTCCCTCTGCCTGTGTCTCTGCCTCTCTCTGTGTGTGTGTCTCTCATGAATAAATAAGTAAAATCTTAAAAAAAAAAAAGTTGTTAGGATTTAAAAAAAATAAAATAAACTGTTAATTAAAAATTTACCTTGTCAGTTACTTCCTTTTTAATTGAGCTATAATTGACAAGCAACATTATATTAGTTTCAGGTATATAATAATGATTTGATATTTGATAT